TAACAAAAAATTCGAACTCGTGACCTTCTACACACCTCCGATAATTTTAACTGATACACATTCATTATGCTGCACGGAATTTATTGTTACAAGGTTGCTAACATATGTAAATATATGGTGACTAGAGTGCACTTACAAAAATGAGTTTTCACTGTGCACCAAACTCTAAAAGTAGATTTAAGAGTCAAATTTGATGTTGTCACTACACTTTTTTAGTTTTTTTCGGTAGATCACTCGTATCATCAAGAAAAATGTTACAAATCAATACAATGTCTTAAACCAAAACGTAAATCAAACACCAATAAACATGAGAAAAGGAAATGCCATTTTTTGCAACCAAATGAACAGCCGAGTTGTTGGTCCGGCCAATAAAACAGACATTAAAAATCTGAAAAATACTCTTAAAGAACATCCATGTCTGCTAAAAGCCTAAAATGGACCACGCGTGCATTCAACACAAACCTAATCGAAAACATTTCGTGTATTTTCCATGGTCCATGAAATCGTACCGGAGACCGTATCGGAAAAGTCAGCGATAGAGTATTTTATGGCAAAATTGTGGTTGAACCGTAGTTCAATCATTAATACCGTTAAATACCGCCTATCGGTTTAGCCTTCAATAATGATATTTTGTGGATGAACCGCCGGTACGGTACGGTTTAATGGACCATGGTATTTTCCTGCTTTCTTTGGCCTATCGCCTCCTTGTAATAAAAATAAAAACCAACCACAAAGTTGGTGAAATGATAAATAACCAGAAAATGAAAGAAAGGGACTCGTTGTAGGAGTCGACCAGTATCCAAAAACAAGTAGCCGTGGCTTTAACTATATGTCTATATCGTCCCAATGAGCCAATTACGAGCGCACCCTCCATCATTCATTTCGCAATATGATCAATGGCGTAGCCAGAAATTTATCTAAGGTAACTCAACGTGGAAAAATATATATATAACATATGTTGCAGAAAGTGTTCATGTTTTGAAAATTTTCTAAAATACATTTATCATGCAAATTATGAGGGATGTTAAGATATCACAACAAAAAAGTCGTTCATGATTCCACAACTCATATTATTCTTAAGTGCTTCTTTACTTTGCTTCTTGCATAGGTGTTCTTTCAACATTTGAATATAATGACAACCAATAGCAACAAAAGTACAAAAACCCTAAGAACAAAACATTAATTTCGAGTTTTCGTAAAATTATCTTCAATAATATAGAGATCTTATATCCAATCAGCAATCATATAAATAAATTTACTCCACATTTTTTTGGGCCAAGGTGGTGCAAATGACCCACATTGGCCTCATGTGGCTCCGCCGCTAAATATGATTTGAGCCGACTCGATTTGTTTATATATCATCTCACATCTCAATTCAAAACAATTTGATTTCCACCGCGCTACGACTCGATAAATGAAGGATTGATCCAAACATTTCATCCCATCTAATTCTGAAAATATGAAAGACTTATATACTCATAATTAATTACGAATATCTTCTTACTCTCTACTTTTAATTCTCGTAGCAGGAAATTCGAAATGGTTCAACGAGTTCCAGCTAAATTATAAAGCACTAATGATCATTCTCCTCGCCATAAGGAGGAACTGTTTGATTCACGATGCACATGTTCTTCCCATCAGTCCTGCTAGGAGTTGATTTTTTTTTTTTTTATGAATAGTCCTGCTAGGAGTTGATGGTCCAGAAGTTTATCATCAACATGTTTGCTGGGTTTTTTTTTTTCAAAGTTAGCTCAAATAATTAAGATTGACTGTGACATAACATATCCGCCAATTCCATAACCAGTCGGCCATATATATCAAGATGTGGTCCTTAATTTCCAGGTCATCGGTGAAATGAATAAAACCAGCGATCTATATATGTACTTTGGAATCAATTTGCATGCCAAAATAAGTAATAATCGGGTATCTTAGGATTGTTTCCTTTTCTCTTAAGAATGAACAAATAAATTCTCCTGTCTTCTCTATATGCCCGCCCTCTACTTTTATTTATAGTTTTGGACAATTAAAAGGTGGATGATGTCCCATGGTGATGAGATTATTCATGTACAAATTAAACCTACATTTTTTAGTAATTCGAGTTTGTACAGTTACATGTGTTTAACAAAACAAATGGGGTCATAGGAATTTGAACAGAAGACCTCTCTTTCACAGAACTCTGATACCATTTCATTTCAAGAACGAGTTGATCTCATTATTGGGAGATGTTCAATTATAGATCATATATCATTTACTAACGTATCAATCCCCACCACCCCGTCTTTGTTAACTATGATGATGGAAGGGAATAGCACTACAAAATTCGATTTTCTATTACCAATCATCATTTTGGTTGCATTAGGATTTCGTAAAGCAGGTATTGGGATCAACTATAATCGAGAGATCTTTTGCTCGAATCTCATGTCTGGGGTCAATGAAAGACCTTCTGCGGCTCAATCTGAGCTATTGTTCCAAGATTTCGTTCCTTCGTGGAACCATCCGGAATCTTCCCAACTTGTGGTGTGGTGAGTTTAAGAATGCTTTATGAGAGGAACGAAAGGAACACACAAACCAAACGCAATAAGCGGACCAGACCGCTCCAGTGCGACCCAAAGACAGGAGACTGACATAACAGAGTCTCGGAACAGAGACCCAAGACCACCCGTTAGACGAACCAAGACGTCCCTGCGGAAAAAGGAAAACAAACGTACCAACAGCAATCAAACATAAAAGAGAACAATCACACGGCGAGATAGGAGCACAAAAGACCCGGAGTCACTCTACAAAATCCAACTGGGGTCTCGAGAATTTCTAATGCTGGGAAGGGAGCACACGCGCTACATACGGGGGAGCCAATCCTCGCGTCTCTGATTTGTCATTAGTCCACAAGCGTTCTCCCAGTTTAGAAGAGCCCTGCAAACGTTGTGGAAAATGACCTGCAATATTTTTTGTTTATCATGAAAAGTTTTGGCATTTCTCTCCTTCCAAACTTCCCAGATGAAAGCATGAATAGATCCTTGAATAATCCGAGTCTTCCAAGACTCGCTGCTTTTGAAGCTCCATCCTTTAATAACATATGTTAAATGTGCAGAAAATGGACCAACAACCTCAATCATTTGCTGAAGAGCTTGCCAAATGTTGCAACTGTAGGTGCATTTCCAAAACAAATGATTAGCACTTTCTTCTGCCGAATAACACAGGGAGCACCTGCTCGCAAGGCTCCAACCACGCTTTTTCAGATTATCATGAGTGAGAACCTTGTCGTGCGTAATCATCCAAAGGAAGGCTCGCTTTATTGGGTTAGCCTGCCATACATTATACATGTTTCTAGCCAGGGGCGGACCCATCTTTAATGAAGGTGTATCGGGTACGAAACTTTTGTGAGGAACCCACTTTTTTGTGTAAAAATTTCGAACACGAGAGCTCCAAAACACCGACAATAATTGTAACTGACACACCTTATTCATTACAGAAAAAATTATTGTCATAATGTTATCAAAGTAAGTAAATATAGGAGTTATCGTACTTCATATTGGGTAATTAATTAGTTGGTTGTACAAGAGTATTCAGAAAGATAGTTATCACCTTCGAGATAATCTCGATAGTTTGAATGATAAATAAATTGAATAATAAGTTGGTTTAGTTAAGTAATTAGATAGTGAATTCTAGACTGTCTTTCACCATAGCTTCTTCCATATAATTTCTCTTTAAGTTAATTTTTAAGTTGCTTTCTAGTTTAGTTATTTCTTTCTACATTGACACTTGTCGCCACCCTTCAATTGTCGACGTCGAACCGACGACATCCTCATTCTCATTCAACTTTCATATTGGTGCCTATGGCCACTCTTTTAGCTTCTCATACTTGCTTTCCCTTTTAAATTGGTGTTGACTTTACCTCTTGCAACTGCAAGGTACAAAATGATATTTTCTATATATGAATTAATATTAATCGAGAGCAATCTTTGCTATAAATTGAGTTACCAATTTATGAATAATTGTTTAGTTATTTACATAAAAGATTTGATTTGCAATCTAATGGACATGTGTAATTAAGAAAGCTTTCAGAAGATGAAAACTCATCGCGGTTCACGGTAAAAAATAATGACATTGGTGAACTTTATGAATAAAATTCTTATGTTTATTTTAAATATATTTAATTAATTTAAATTTATTTTTATTGGCCGACACACCTATCGCTAAATTCTAGGTCCGCCACTGTTTCTAGCAATTTACATGGTACCATCAAATAATACAAGTCTTACACAATAATCTATAACACACTAGAACACCCTTGCTGACCAACCTTTGCTCGGACAACATTTAGATTTCCCCTAACAATGCGATACTCACACCATGTACATTATTTCTTTGTTTTGACCTGTACGATGAGTTTATATTATCTATTTTGATTTGGTACTGAACTCGGTGACTTCGATATATAATCTACGCATAAACTTTTGTGAACAAAGAAATATGTATTTTCTATTTTTATATCTATATATATATACTATACATAAAAGGACTACTTCAATTGTATAAAAAAGTGTTATTTATTATAGTGATTGTCACTGTATCGCTTGATCATGTTAAAATTTAAGTATGAAATGATTTAACACATCCGCACCACAAAATATCATATCACAGATTTTTTTCCGTTACCATTCAATCCTTCATTTTTCTGTATTGATGAGATCCTCTGATGATGATCTGCTGCTTGACTATGATTTATGCTGCAAATAGGAATTAGTAGTTTTGACCTGCATATTAGAGATAAATGACAAATATCAGGCCCAAATGGTTAGAGTCCAGACTACAAAAAATGCGGCCCACAAAGGATATCCCAAAAGATGAGTTCAATCCACCAAAAGGAAAAGACGGCCAGAAGCCCAAAAATGTGGCGCCAACGACGTTTGAGTTGGGCGCAAATTTGGAGGCGGGAGATCAATTCCCTACGGATACATTTTGCCGCGAAGAAAACCTCTTTCCCTTCCATATCTGTACCTATTTTTCCCCTAATTCTCAACTTCAAATCACTCTTCTCACCAGCAGTAGCAAATTATCCCCTCAATCGCCGAATTTGGATCAGTCGGAACAATCTTCAATCTGAAAAAAACAATGCCTTCTCTCGCTGTTTCCCGGTCCGTAGAAGAATCGCTTACTCCTCAGAAGCGGAGACTGAGATCCAACTCCACAGCGGCGCCGGAAACCCCGATATCTGCTCCGACGAAGCGGAAGTCGCCCCGCCGATGTCTCGAGTCCTCTCCCTCTTCTCATCCGACCGTCGTGAGTTTTCTTTTTCTCCTCGCTCAAAAAATGGAGTGTAGGCTAAAGGTATCTGATCTGATTTTTCTCTCGCTGTGTAGTCAACAAGGAACGATTCAATTGGACCGGTTTCGAACTCATCGAAATCGCTTGCTGAGGAATTGAGCGAGGATTTCTCTAAGAAACTCAACTGGAATCCTAGTGGTGAGAGAGTGAGAAAGAGATAGCCAGTTGGTTTTATTCTTGATTAGTATTTTTTTCATTTCTCAATTGAGCTGATTGTTAAATTTTGTACAATTGGTTCGGTTCGGTAGATGCGTCCCAAGTGAGCGCGGTGAAGGAGGCGTTGCACGTATCGACATCTCCACCAACGATTGTTTGTCGCGAAGAAGAGCAGAGAAGAGTGTTTGATTTCTGCAAGGCTTGTGTTGAGAAGGAACAATCTGGGAGCTTGTATGTGTGCGGATGCCCTGGGACAGGGAAGAGTTTGTCAATGGAGAAAGTTTCGAATCAGCTGATTAAATGGGCCAGAGATGTAAGGATAGAATGCTGCACTGTGCCAATTGAAAATTTTAAATGCAAGTTAACTGTTTTATTCAACTTCAATCTCAGTTAAGAGTCCTTTCTCTTTTGTTAGGGTGGGTTTGAGCCTCCAGAGGTACTGTCCATTAATTGTACCGCGCTTACGAGCTCTTCTCAGATTTTCGGGAAGGTAATATCGATTGAGGGTTTCCAGTACCTGCTGATGGTTGAAATAAATGCAATGAGTTTGCTATCTGTGCTAACAATTTGTGCTTGGCAGATTGTTGATAATGGTTATGTGAAAGTGAAGACCAGTGGAACCATTGCCCCTTTGCAACATCTCCAGAATGTGTACTCTCAAAAGCAGCAGTCTTCAAGTTCAAAGATGCTGTAAGAACCATAGAACTTAGTCCCCTATACTGTATGATTGCGGAACAATCCTACTAAGAACTGTTTATTGGCAAATGAAAGCATAGATCTGATCTTCTAGAGATGGAACTAACCAATGATTTTGCCATTGCAGCCTCATAATTGTTGATGAGTTGGATTATCTAATTACCAAAGACCGAGCTGTCCTTCATGATCTCTTCATGCTGACAACTCTTCCTTTCTCTAGATGTATACTGATAGGTAATGCTCTTGGCAATATTAACCTGAGCAGCTATTGGATTGTTCATGTAGGAAGATTAAATTTTGCTATGTGTTCTATCTTTTGCAGGAATAGCAAATGCCATAGATCTAGCTGACCGTTTTCTTCCGAAACTGCAGTCATTGAATTGTGAGTTCATCACTCGCTGAAAAGCCTTTTGAATTGGTATTTTAATGTGTAGAACAATGGCCGAAGATGTATTTGCTCGGGTTAACTGTCTTTCACTGTGTTAATCTCCCATTGCTTGGCCAACATTGTGAGAAGAATTTGAATGTGGACTGGGTGTTAGTTATGAGCTTCGATTTCAGTATGTGCTGAATTGTTTGATCGCTGTCTTTGTGATAGGTAAGCCCTTGGTGGTAACTTATCGAGCCTATTCGAAAGATCAAATACTCAGAATCCTTCAGGAGAGGCTCATGGTAACCCTCAATATTTTCTTTCTACTTTCTAGATTTCGTGTAAGGGTTAATTGAATTTGGTGAAGTAGCAACTTGATGTGATTAAGAAAATCATATGCCGGCTTTTGATTGTATGATGTGTTGTTGCTGTGTCCCAGGTACTACCTCATGTAGTTTTCCACCCACAAGCTTTGGAGCTGTGTGCCAGAGTAAGTACACATCTTTTGTCTAATTGGCTCTCCAATATTTTGTTGTGAAAACAGAATTTCATCAGATTGATTTGCCAATTGATTCGTGTTTACAGAAAGTTGCAGCTGCATCTGGTGACATGCGCAAAGCACTTTCTGTTTGCAGGTTTGCAGTTTCTTTCCTTAGTCTGTTTTGGCTTGTATTCTCAAGTTTTGCTATGTGTTTGCCAAATGGTGAAGTTGAATTGCTGTCTGTAACACTTTCACAATCTTTTACTTGACTAAACAGAAAATCCTGTTCCCTTATTCCAGATCTGCAGTTGAGGTTCTGGAAGCAGAAGTAAGAGACTCTACGAATAACATGGACTCAGATACTCAAGGAAATTCAGTTGTAAGTCATTTCCTGCCCTGCATCATCCAATATAACCCACACTCCCTAACTCTAACAGTAGAAGAAACCTAACATGTTAACCTTTCAGCGTCAAGAAACAAGCCTCTCATTAAATTTTCATCTCGCCCATGTTCTAATCCGTCCCTCAATGACTTGCTAAACCCGCTGCAGGTGAAAATTGATCACATGGCAGCTGCTCTATCAAAGGCATTCAGGACACCAGTAATCGACACCATTCAATCCCTTCCTCAGCATCAACAAGTGAGTCTATTTTTCTTCTTTTCCCAGCTAAACCATAGGATGATTCAATCACAATATCACACTGTGTCATTAACCTAACTCAACCAAAATTGCAGATAATCCTATGCTCAGCTGTTAAGTTCTTCCGTGGAGGAAAGAAGGATACTATAGTAGGAGAGGTGAGCTACTTTTCTTACCATTCTACCAAGATGCATAGATACTGAACATCTAGATAGTCTTTTTCAACATTAGCTTTGTTCGAATCATTGATTGCAGCTGAACAAATCTTACGTCGAGACATGCAAATCGAGAATGATCCCACCAGTCGGAATTTCTGAGTTTCTGAGTATGTGCAGAGTGCTGAATGACCAGGCAAGTAACATAACACATCCATTAACACAACTTTCATTCCCAGCCTTTTTTCTCATCAAAACCAGTGACCAGAATTTTTACTCTTTATTACTACAGGGACTAGTGAAACTAGGACAGTCTCGCGGTGACGATAAACTGAAGAGGGTGACATTAACAGTAGATGAAGCTGACATCAACTTCGCATTGCAGGTGTGTATGTTCTTCCTTAACCAAAGCCAAAACTATCAACTCTGTTTCTGCTAGTGAATTATTGCTAATGGATGAATGATATGCTTGATTGGTGTTGACAGGGAGTTCGTTTCTTTAGGAACTGTCTGCAGTAGAAGTGCCAATTCTACTGCACAACTTTGACAGAAGAGCCAAAATCGCCTATGGAGTTCAAATAGAGAAAGGGAAATGAGGGAAAGCAAACAAAGACCAAAAACAGGCACTAGCTACAAGCTAGCAATTCCTGAACTAACTACCAAAGCAAAGTGGTTACCATGCAATGCAGCTCAATCAAAAAGGCCACCCATGCCGACATCGTCGTCCGAATCATCTTCTGGTTCAGGCTTCTTCTCCTCCTTAGCTCCCCCTCCACCGGCCGCAGCTCCTCCACCGCTAGGAGCTGCCGCTGCTGCCGGAGCCGCCATTGCAGCTGCAAACTTGCTTGGATCCTGAAATCCATCACAAGATTCCAACATCAGCCATTTGTATGATAATTAAAATCGTCATACGGAGATCCTTGAATAGCAACAAAGTATTGTGAACCAATTAGTCGGGGGATTAAATTTAAACTTGTTTATGAATGAAATTAATTCTAATTTTAGCCCCCCCCCCCCCCCCAACCCAAATTCCTTTCTCTTATCAACAAGCCCAAATCCGCCTCAAAATTAAGCTCACACCTAACTAGGTATGGCTGTTCGGATTCGGTTTTGGTTTTTAATTTAAATCGAACTGGCTTTATAGGCTTATCGATTTTCCTTAACGGGTAAAAATTAATAGCCCATTAACAGATTTGGTTAAGATGAAGTTCTTGATAAATTGGTAGAAACCCGATAAGCTTTAATGCAAGGTCTGTTTTTTTATTTTCTGATATATTCATACTGAAACCGAATTCATTAATAGTTTAACCAAAATCGATAAACTCTTAACAACTCGAATTTTGGTCAAATGCCTAATTCAATTTTTGATTTAACCGAACCACCACCCTACATTTAACAGCAAACTCCACCAAATAATGTCGAATTGAAATTTGAAAACGACACGTTTGTAAAAACATTTGCAAAGGAACTCATTTTCGTAAAAGTACAAAAATTAGGGATAAAAAGAAATCTATATCACCCTTATAAAAAAAATGTCAAACGGTGAAAATCAGCATTAATCCCAAAAAATATAGAAGCGAAAGTTCATTGGAACAGAAAGGAATTACCTTCAAGTACTCCTTGACGTCCTCGGCTTGGGGGAAGCTATACTCGGTTTCGACGGCAACGGAGAGCACGTTCCTGTACGAAGCAGCGAACATGGCCGGCGCGGCGGCGAGACTCGGATACGAGACGGCCAGCGAGAGCGAAGTGAGGTTGGTGACCCCGGAAGCGAACTTCAGAGCGACGTCGTCTTCGGTGAGGTCGAGCACCTCGGGGCTGAAGACGCTGCCGTCGTCGTAGACGGAGGTGACGATGAGGCCGTAGGAAAAAGGACGGATGCCGAGCTTCGAGAGAAGCGCGGATTCGGACGATCCCACCTTCTCGCCCTTCTTGATCAGCTCCACCGACATCGTTATCTCCACCGTGCCTTTGTTGATCTTGGTCGGGATGTTCAGCACCTAATTTTAAACACGTTCATAGATTGTGATTTAGTAACTGGTATTCTTCATAATGACGATTTGCGAATTAGTTTTTAGGGTAGTGGGAGAGTGATGAACCTGAAAGAAGGAAGTCTGAGAGGGGTCAAGCCCGGTGTTGCCTGGAGGGACAGTGACGTCAATTGGGGCGATCAGACCCACGCGAGCCGGAGCTCCCACCTGTTAATCAACTAATTAGTTACCACATGTAATAATTAATGTTAAGGACATGGGTTTAAGGTACAAAGATTAAGAGTTGTAAAAGCTACAAAACACGCGTTTTACTACCTCTGATATGATCGTATTAGGGTGGTCTGATACGTATAATGGATTAATCAAGTAGACCATTTACAGATCCCAAATATACCCTACTTACAGATCAATAATCATAACTGGATAAATAACCGGAGAAACATATAGAAAGAACAAACGAGAAACCCCTTAGTAAAGTCACTTCACTTGCATGCATGATGCATGCACGTCCAGAACGACGCCGTTTACCAGCAGATTCCAAAGGGGAAAAACAATATAAAAAAAATCCACGTAAAAAAAAAATTGAAACTGATGGAGTAAACCATACCTTGTATTTGGCGATCTCCTCTTTAACCTCCTTGAGGTCACCCTTGGTGAAAATCAATCCCACGTTCCCCTGAAAAAACATTTTCCACCCCCACGTACATCAAGAATTAGTAACCAACTCTTTCTTAACAGTTTTCATGTAATCAAAACAATAATTTCATCACGTTCAAAATCGAATCAAATCAATACCAGCGTACAAACATTCGAACAAAAAAAGACTAAAATCCCAAACATACTTCATCCCGAAAAAAATAAGTTAAATCGAATCGAAACCATTTACTCCTTTCTGATCCAAAAGTCAATCTGATCAGATCCATCGATTACTCACTCATCCCCATAATCAAATTTTGTTAGCGAATTCAGGGTCGGATCGAATAATATACACGAAATGCTCATGATCGATCAGCCTAATAATTTATACCATACCACGAGGAGAGGGACGAGCTTGGAGAAGCTGTCGTTTCCCGTGGCCTCGGCGTGGAGGCGGATGGATCGCTTCATCATGGTGTTCTTCCCCATCAGCACGACGGAGTCGCCGCGCAGCCCTTTCCGAATGTCCTGGAGCTGCTTCGACCCGACGTTGTCGGCCTCCACGATCAGGATCTGCGAGTACTCGTCCAGCAGCCGGCACAGCTTCTTGTCGTACTGCACCTTCTTCTCCGTCTTCGACACCTTGATCGCCATTTTCGAACTTCTGCTTGATCACAGGATTATGAACAGAAGAGATCAGATCACGCAGCGTTTGAGTTAGGAGAAATGTGAGCGAGAGAGAGAGACAGATTTAGCCTGATGGAAATGAGGGAGGGGAGGTTGATTTTGGAGGCAACTGCTTGGCGTTGGTGGTGGCATTTTGCTAGGCGGAAATTTATAACGGAGTTTCTCTCTCTCTCTCTTTCTTTCTTGTGATTTTTTGGGCTTGATGTTAGAACGGGTCCATTTGTGGATATAAGGCCCAAAATATTCTGGACTTCCCCAGCTTCCTTCCTCTGTTTTCCTAGGGTTTGGTTTACCAGTTTGTTAATTTGGGCACGAACCATTAGCTGTCCAATTTTACTACTAAGTTTGGCAATTTGTCTCTCTCATTAGTCATTATTACTGACAGATTCTAATGGCTTTCTGGAAATTAACTTTCATTTCATGTTGTTGTCTCATTAGTTATTTGTCGCCTATGATGTATGGAACGAATTAAGATAAGGTTAAATTGAAATTATCGTAACAGTGATCGAGAGAGAGACGGAGAGAGCGATAGTTATATTGTGATCAGGGTCTTGTGCTGAGGGCTGATGAAGTTTTCCTCATCATCATTCTTCGCTATATTTATTGCTAGCTTTGGGGGGAAGGATAGGCAAAGAGCAAAATAGTAAGAATGAGATCGTACAAATGAGAAACTGCTGTTGAAATTGATCGAGATCTCTGAAAGAGCACATGAAATAGTTCGAAAAATAAAATATTTTCTTTTTTCAAGGCCAATGATTAATTTAACCTTCTAAATAGATTTCTTTGATTCAATAATTATTAATTTGGTCCCTTTTAATCACCTAATCTAGTCCTTGTAGTAATTATTGCTTGTTTGCATAATTTTAGTCTCACCCCATATGTTGAGAATTGGATAAGGTCATCCACTAATGTCATTGTGGACAATGTTCTTAACGGTAGAGGGCAATAACTGAAAACAACCTCTGGGCCCTCCCCGACTCACGTATTAACCGATTTTCTTAGTCAAGCCCAGCCCAAAACAACAGGCCCAAACTGAGCGATATAAAAATGGCAAATAAGTTCCGGCTGCCTTGAGTCTTTGTCAGAAGTTCAAAAATCTAACACTCAGCCAACCGGAAGGAGAAAAATGCAACTGAATTCGGTTTCCACGTGCGAGCTCTCCCAGCTCCGCCCTTCCTCCCTTCTTCACACCAGATCCTTCCCTGCAATGGGCAGAACCTTAGCCGTTGCTCTTCCACAGCCTCCGCCGCCTCTCCGGCTCCCGGCGGCTCCTTCCGTCAACTTCGATGGACGACTCACAAGCGCCAGCTTCACTTCCTCGAGTTCTATTTCTCTGGTCGGCCGCAGCTCTCGCTTCGGTTCCCACAAATGCGCCGCCTCCACTTATCAACCGATTGGTAAGTTGCTTTTGCCATTGTTCCGTTTCCGCCTTCGTTCGGTTATTGTGTGCCGCTTTCTCTTTCCGTTTGGATGCTGAGAAAAAAAGGAAAGGAAAAGCATTAGGAGGCGGAAGAAATCAATTCTACTACCTAGTTTGGTTTGAGAGGAATAGTAGCATGATGTTAGCTAAGTACTATGATTGTAATGTTTTGATTGCGGTTGAATCAAAGGCAGTGGGAATGAAATGATTGGTTGATTGATTGAGTGAGTGAGTGTCTTGTGATGAAATTGAGAGCTGAATTGATTTCTGTCATCAATAGAAATCGACATCTGCGATTGAAACTATGTTGTTCGATGACTGAACTCTTGGCTTGTTATCTGGTTCAGATTATGAGTACTTAATGTGTGTGGATATAAGTATTCAGTGCAATGATAGCTGTAAAGTGTGATCGTTGATACGTGGTTCCAGCCTCCATTCAATTTGTGCAAGTCATAACCCGGTTGTACTTGCTTTTTTCTTTCAGTTGATCAATCAGAAAAATTTCATGAAGCTGCAAAGAAAGGGAATCTTATTCCCTTACACCAATGCCTACTATGTGATCATCTCACGCCGGTGCTTGCTTACAGATGCCTGGTAAGGGAAGATGATAGAGACGCACCAAGCTTCTTGTTTGAGTCGGTTCAACCCGGTCTGGATGCTTCCACCGTTGTAAGTTGACTTTGTTTCCTCTTGTTCTCCTTCTTTCTCCTACTGCATGTATTCTTCTCATCAGGGAAGTGTAGTTTCTGTTGTGACGCGCCTCTTTTTTATTTAGGGAAGGTATAGCATCATCGGAGCTCAACCAACCATAGAGATTGTGGCAAAAGAGAACATGGTGACAACTATGTATCATCATGAGAACCGTAGGGAGGAGCAGATAGTGGATGACCCAATGGATGTTCCTCGAAGAATAATGGAGGGATGGACACCTCAACTTGTTGATGAGCTACCAGAATGCTTCTGTGGTCAGTCTTGTTTATTGCATATCTACAGTCTCTAGGATTGGCTTGTTGAAATGGCACTACACATTCTTCATATTAGATGCTTATCGTTATGTCCATTCTTGGACACACATTTCTTAACTTTGAAAAGTTCATATGGACCAGGTGGATGGGTTGGTTTCTTTTCTTATGACACTGTGCGGTTTGTTGAGAAGAAAAAGATGCCTTTCTCTGCTGCTCCACCTGATGACAGAAATCTCCCTGATATTCATCTTGGTCTTTATGATGATGTTATTGTCTTTGATCATGTTGATAAGGTGCGTTCATTCAATGTTGTTTTAGATACTTCGTATCTTACCATATCAAGCCCTTTATTTTTTTTCGCTTCATTCCTGTGTGTTTACTGGTTCAATGTTTTCTTATCATCCCCAGAAAGCACACCTGATTCACTGGGTTCAGTTAGATCGATATTCTTCCATTGAGGAGGCCTATAATGATGGTATTGATCGGTTGATGAACTTAATCAGTAGAATTCATGATATAGCACCGTGAGTAATCTAGAGATGTTTTATATCCAGCAGTTTTGTCTATTTATCAGTGTATTGAGTAATCCTTACTGTTTTTACAGTCCAAGGCTATCTTCTGGTTCAATCATGATGTCAACTAGTCTCTTTGGCCCTAAATTGGATGTCTCAAGCATGACAAATGAAGACTATAAGGAGGCAGTATTGACAGCTAAAGAACATATACTAGCTGGTGATATTTTCCAGATTGTATTGAGTCAGCGCTTTGAGAGACGAACATATGCAGATCCATTTGAGATCTACAGATGTCTGAGAGTCGTCAATCCTAGCCCATATATGACTTACCTACAAGTGTGCCCACTTTCAGCCTAGACCTCACCATTTAAAGCAGCATGTTATGTATCATTACAATCTAATGTTTGAACATTTTTTTCTCATTAGGCTAGAGGGTGTATACTGGTTGCTTCCAGCCCAGAAATTTTGACCCGCGTCAAGAAGGTAACTCCAATTAATGCTTGATCAGGTGAACTTTCGTTTTTCTGTTCCGATTCTTCATGCCTAGCCTAATATTGAATGAAATATACAGAACAAAATCACGAATCGACCCCTTGCTGGAACTGTTAGAAGAGGAAAAACGCCGAAGGAAGATCTAATGTTGGAAACTGAGCTGTTGAACGATGAAAAGCAATGTGCAGAACACATTATGCTTGTTGATTTGGGAAGGAATGATGTGGGAAAGGTCAGTTCTTTTTATGCTTATCATATAAGTCTGTCATTTCAAATGTAGCAGAGTCATGTATACATTGTGTAAGATAAGATAATAGAATAAATTTCCGTCTGCTTTATTGGTTAAAGAGTTTTCATTAGCTGGCTTTTTCTTGCAGGTCTCCAAACCTGGATCAGTAAAAGTTGAAAAGCTCATGAATATCGAGCGCTACTCCCATGTTATGCACATCAGCTCAACGGTACAAATCTTTGCTTCTCAATAATCTAGATATAGCAGTTATGTATTAGTTTACATACTAGTGAATATGCAGAGAAGACTATCTCATTTCTGTCATATTATGATTATCTCTTTGATTAATTAACCAGCAGTCAAAGTGAGTGGGAAGAAGGCAGCTCCTTACATGAACTTGCTGCTTTCTCTCCCTTATGTTATTGAGCATAACGGTCTCTTACGTGGAGCAACCATTGTGTGAGGCTCCGTCTCCTGTCTGGTCTAAACGTAAGTATTGTATTAATGACTCAGATTTCATTTGCTGATAGGTCACAGGAGAAATGCTTGACAACTTAACCAGCTGGGACGTCTTGCGTGCTGCACTTCCCGTCGGCACAGTCAGTGGAGCTCCTAAGGTATTGTGTCACCGAACTTCCTCTACTCGCACTCTTTCATTCCATAATTTGATGAACTCATTCCACCCTTGCATTACTATGCATCATACTATACAGTCATCCACATTCGTGTCACATTTGCGTATCTATTGAAAACTACAGGTGAAAGCAATGGAGCTGATCGACGAGCTGGAAGTGACCCGGCGTGGGCCATACAGCGGTGGATTCGGCGGCATTTCATTCAACGGTGATATGGACATTGCCCTTGCCCTGAGAACCATCGTCTTCCCCACGAGCACCCGGTACGACACCATGTACTCGTACGCCGACGTCAACAAACGACGAGAGTGGGTTGCTCACATCCAGGCTGGAGCCGGGATTGTCGCCGACAGTGACCCTGACGACGAGCAGAGAGAGTGCGAGAACAAAGCTGCTGGTCTCGCACGTGCCATCGATCTTGCTGAGTCATCGTTCGTCAACAAATAAAACTGAGATCCCTTGGTTTGGCCTTCAGAGTTCAGTGTAGAAGCTTTGCTCAAGCTTCTGCAATGCTTTTTTTCTAGGTAGAAGTCAAGCAGGATTCTTTTCAATTGTGAGTGGGAATGGAGGGAATTGGTGTTAAAGCAAATGTATTTGGGCTTGGTACAAGGAGAATGGGCTACTGAACAAAGCCCATCTATTGACTTTGTCCGGCCCATGAAGCCATTTTGCATTGAGCCTAGCTAAATGATCGAGTATGACCTATGAGTAGTTAGTTGATGAGAGGTTGGTTCGGTCAGTTATTTTCCGAGTCTAACAAGTGTGATTGAGAAAAAGGAAAGGGAACAAAGAATCGTAACTTCTTTAGTGTTACCCTGAATAATCCGACTTTAATTTAAGTGGGGATTCGTCTTTGGTTGGATGAGCTCTCCTATACCACTAGTCTACTACTACTATGACCAAAGGGGTGGGTATAGTCTTTGTAAATCAGATTGAATTGGTCGGTCTTTCTTTTACGGGGAACCTGATGCTTGTGGCTAAGATCTTATTGCTCACTATAGAAGAATTCGGAATCTGCACTAAACTAACTAGTATATAAGAACTCGATCTCAATGAATATCCGGCAAATTCATGAGAGCTTGTGGCTAAGATCTTATTGCTCACTATAGAAGAATACGGAATCTACACCAAACTAACTAGTACATATGATATGATCTGATTGGTTCGGTTTCCGTTCTATACTTTTACTTGTTTTTATTCTTGATGAGCGGCTAATTAAATTGAAAATCGAGATCATTTCGAATTCTAATAATTGAAACCTAACCGAGATAGATCCTATGCATTGACCAAATCTTTTGCCCACATAACATCTTTCTTCAAAGGCAAGGTCCAAAAAATCTCTAGCTTAGCACCAAATTCTAGGGCCTAGCAGTGTGCTAGAACGGCCAAATAACACGTTGGTTACATTAGGTGAGCCAAGTTTTTTGGTACATTAGGTGCTTGTCTGCTTGCCTCCTCCATTTGTGCTCTTCTACTTTCCTTCGAATAACCCCAAGAAAAGACACTGCTGCTTTCACGATGACAAGTTTGGCCAGAATTTTTACCTTCAGAAGGTCATGCATGGCCTTGTTTGTTGCACATGATGACACAGTTGAATCTTGGCCAAGATCAGAGGCCCTAAAGTCGGGAATGTCATAAAGGCCGACACCGTAAAAAAATTTTGGAGTGAATGCCGACACCATAATGAGTAGAGAAAAGGTATCTACATGAGATACGTTATAGGAAAGCTCATGATCCAAGTTTCAACGCGTTAAAAGTGGGATTTTGGTTCATAGAGATATAAGTGTTTCAATAATGCGTAACGACGGAGTTAGTGGAATCTTCAAATCAGTTATGATAATGGATCGGTTCATTGCTTGGACGGTTACTGATGGACCAATCAATGGTTTTTCACGGTTCAACAGAAAATCAGATGAATCACCATGGTTTAACTAGTCCACTGGTTCAATAAATTAACCAAAACAAATTAAAAAAGTAGTTTAACGTAAACTAAGACCATCAAATCATAATTATTAATTTTATATATGCTTCCTCTTCTCATTTCTCAACCTTGTTGTCGACTTTATGTGGTTCACTACCGACTGGCAGCGTAAATTTTTAATGTGAATGAAAAAAATTCTTATGTCTTTTGTGAGATGGCTTGAATGGTTTATTAGATATTTTGGTAATGATATAAATTTGCAATTATTTATGGTGAATGATAATTTCATTCTTAATATGAATGAAATAAGAGTGACTACTCGTAATATGAATCAATTGAATAATGAATAGTTTGTTGTTGAATCAATACCGACTGAACTTGTACATTGTGTTTGATTGTAAGAATAGATTAAAAAATGTTGGTTACAAGGTAAACTCATTTTAATGGATCAAAATACAATCTTATCATAAAATTAAAGATCAAGTCGATCGACTCAGCCACCTTGACATACCTTTTCCCTAATCATTACTGGAAGTGTTCATGTGACACCATTTTTTCAATGATTCTTGTTCATGCTTATAATCATGGATCTGTTCACCTCGTTAATATATAATAACAATGATAACAAGTAAGAATATACTAATCTTACTAAACTTTTCAATATGTTCCATTTTATTTTTTTGTTTCTCTCTCACATAGATTTTCTCTCTATATATAAAGTTAAATACTATTAACATACAAGAATCGAATAGACATGCATAATATGTATAATGTTGAAACCACGATATTGAATTCAACCAAGGCATTGAAATCACGATCATAATTGAATTTACATTATGTCGACCATCGACTAGACATACCTTATACTATACACATCCTAACTACCTCGCTCTTTTTAACTGTACTTCACGTTTTTAACATACAAGAATCGAATAGACATGCATAATATGTATAATGTTGAAACCACGATATTGAATTCAACCAAGGTATTGAAATCACGATCATAATTGAATTTAACGTGGTATCGCCGGTATGGCACTAGTCCACGGAGAGGATCTCCCTCTCAGGTTTTAGGGCTTATTATTTCGTTAATCTTCTGTTACAGTTTACAACGATATTTATAGATTTGCTATAACAAACCCTAACTACAATTACACTTTGGTACCTATATTTTAACAATGTCGACCATCGCTAGACATACCTTATACTATACACATCCTAACTACCCTCACTCTTTTTAACTTCACGTTTTTTTACCCAATATTCATCACGAGCCTCATGACATTCAGTTCAAAAGATGGCTTTACCTAATCCTACTCAAAGAAACGTGGTTCCTCATCATAAAAAAATAACCACCGTCCCAAAAAAAGAAAGGAGTCGAGGGATAAAAAAACGTCATCAAATACTCATTCCAGAACTGATTCGTGTTCACCTGGACAAAGAGGGAGCAATTGCACAAACGGTCAGCAAACTTCGTTTCATTAACAAATTGGTCACTTACTTTTTTGCTAGGGAATTAGAGTGATCCGCAAAGTTGAGTGGTTGTGTCGAGTAATTGACCCCGAAAGAGAAGAAATGACACAGGAAAGAAAGGAAAGGAAAGGAGGGAAATGCAAAATCTGACGTAAAAGTAGAGCTACCTACCAAATCCAGCTCCCTATCTGCAACCACTTGTCTTTCTCACCAACTTGGTCAAAATCCCTTCCTTCTCCCTCTCTCTCTCTCTCTCTCTCTCACCACAGATTTCATTTCAATTCATTTCACCCCATTTTCTTCTCTCTTCTCACTTCCCATCCTCCTCTCTTCTTCTACCTTCCTCCCTCTCTCTGCTCTATAATTAAAGCCCCACCAGCAATCCATTCTCATCGCTATCTTATTGGCTCTTTCTCTCTTGTTTACCTTCCCATATACTCCAACACCCACCTTCCCATTTCTTCATCTCCTCTACATAAATTCCTTCTTCCCCCCTGCTTCTCTTTCTTCCCCTTCTCTCTCAGACTTTTCGTCGAACAGTTAACAGACAAACGAGTCAGGTACTTTGTGTAAACCTGCTGTTGACAACCCAAATCCGAACGAGAGAAGAGAAACAAAACCCATTTCTTCGATTTGGAGAAAAGAAATCAAATCATGGGAAGGTCTCCTTGTTGTGAGAAGGCTCACACCAACAAAGGCGCCTGGACAAAAGAAGAAGACCAGCGCCTCATTGATTACATCCGCACTCATGGCGAAGGCTGCTGGCGCTCCCTCCCCAAATCTGCCGGTTAGTGGTTTTTTTTCTTTTTGGGTTCTTCCCCGAAACGAAAAAGTCGATTCCTTTCCCCCTGTTTTGGCAAGTTGTTTGAATTTTTTTTCCCCATCTGGATTTCGTTTCTCGGCAGGGTTGCTCCGATGCGGGAAGAGTTGCAGACTGAGATGGATTAATTACCTCAGGCCTGATCTCAAAAGAGGGAATTTCTCTGAAGAAGAAGACGAACTCATCATTAAGCTTCACAGCTTGCTTGGCAACAAGTAATTACCTCAAACTCAAATCCCTCCTTTTTCAATTCCTCTGTTTTTTTTTTTTTAATTCCCCTGTTTTTCGTATTTGGGCTAAATTTCGTGTCTTTTTTGTCCGCTTCAGATGGTCTTTGATTGCCGGAAGACTGCCGGGAAGAACAGACAACGAGATCAAGAACTACTGGAACACTCACATCAAGCGAAAGCTCATGAGCCGCGGAATCGACCCGCAGACTCACCGTTCCCTCAACGAGAAGCCAACCTCCGCCGTTGTCCCCGTCGCACCAGCAACCACCACCACCGTCACCGCCGCTGCTGTTACTGTTACTCCTCCGGCGAAGCCGACCCAGTTGGATTTCAAATCCGCACTGGCTCCAGCTCAATCCATGGCGGAAATCAACCGGCTCCTCCAATCAAACACGATGAAGGCGAACAACAGCATCCTGGATTTCAAATTCCAAACGGTGGTAAAAGCAGAGTCCGTCGAGGAAAACAACTGCTCCACCAGCGGGATGACCACCGACGAAGAACCGCCGCTTCCGAGGCCCGTCTCCGCCGATGCCGGAGGCGAGCGGCGGGAGGAATTGAATTTGGAGCTGACGATCGGGCTTGCCACTCCTTCTTCTCGTTCTCTAACGACGACCCGGCCAAGTTCGGCTTCCTCCGGGAACTCAGCGGAGTCGAAGCTTCAGTTCCACCCGTATCTTCAGTTTTCCGGCACGGCAGCTACACCGACGACGACGGCGGCGGAGGCCGTCTGCTTGTGCTGGCAGTTGGGCGGGGGAGCCCGTGGGAATTGCCACTGCCAATGTTCTTCCGGTGGGCGGCAACAGCAGCAGATTAGATATCAGTATTGCTAATGATAATTTCCAGTTTCATCCCTTTATTTTTTTTCTTTTCCATTTTGGGACAGATTTTGTATTTACTATGTAGCTTCTTCCCCCTTCTTTTGTTTTTAATCTTTTTGGGTAAATTTTGAATCTAAGGTGTGTGGGGGTGGGTAGATTTTGGATCATGAATGTCTTTTTTTGGGGACCAAAAAAAGAGCTTTCACTGGCCAAGTGTAATTGTAAGGTAAAAGCTCTAGAGAGATGTAAAAAAAGAAAGAAAAGTTACTGTGGGGGTAAATGTTATTATTTACTGGTTATTATTTACTGGCTATTATTTAATGCCTTCTTCTTCTTCTACCATGTTCTTTCACATCAATTTACCAAGTTTGTCGCTTGGTTCTATCTTTCCTTCTTTCCACCTTCTTGTTTTCCTTGTGCATTTCACCACCCAACACGCTATAGCACACGACTAAATGAATAGAGTTGAGGCGAGTTTTGTCTATCTCCGGTTCTGCTCGTTAATATCTAAGTTGAGTTCGAGTTGGACTCATTTACTAACGAGTAGAATTCAATTCGAGTATGTCTAGTTTAATATATAAATTTTACAGTATGTTGATATCAAATGACTTATTGGTAAACCGCTAACAAATAAACGTGGATAATGTCTGTAACTAAAATATATGGAGTTCAAACTAGTTTTTACTTTATTTGTCCTTGCTCTTTAGTGTAACTTATACATGCAACCAAAAACAAAACCAACTATACCAATTTGATCCTGATTCTGTGATGACGTTGTAACTTAAATGTGTTGGTTTCGAATCAAACTACTCTTTACTTATTTTTTTCACCGTTCTTTTACTGTTTTGTTTTAGGTACTGCATAGAACTAAAAACAAAAAAATCAACCATATACCAACCTAGACCCAAGTTTTAGTTTGAAAAATTAAGCTAACATCCAACCCTAACATCGAACTGTATATGTTTTCAAAGAACAACAATCACTTAGCTGTAAAGCTGAAACTTCGACATAGTGGGAAAATGGAACATTGTACTTGAATAAATTCCGAGTGTTTTCGGGATATACCATGAGACCAACTTCATGTGGGGGGATGAGGTTCTTCCTTATAGCATGTGATCATGTTTTAGGGTCATATGGTCTGTTAATTATATATTGTTTTTTTTATCATAAAAAGCATGAAAGCATCTTGTACCCAATTAGCATTAGTGTAATCTTAACCCACTTTCTCACTAGTCTTTTGTTGATATAACTCGAACCAAATTATATGTCATCGACTTGAAGTATTATATATACTTCTCAATCTCTCTATAAGTTGGAGGAAATTGGAGGGAATGAGAACTTTTCACTTGTTTCTAAGTTTTGTTAGAGTACATGGGAGTGATAATTTAAAGAGGGAAAATTTACTCTAGTAGTTGCCCCGAATTTCTGGTGAAAACAATTATTACCTCATAGTGGGTCTCTTTTTCCCTTCTTTCCTTTTCAAAATTAAACATTGTTTTCCCCTCATTATTTCACTACTCTCAAACTTCCACTTTCCTAAATTTTTCTTCCCCCTCTCCAATTATTTCACCAATCCTGTTTTAGTTTTTTTAATTAACCGAACCGATTTAGTAATTTACGGATCCTTATATATCACTTATTGATTAATCTTGAATATAAGACTTGACTTATTGTTTAGTCATTAATGTAAACTAAACTCTATGGCCACCTATAACAAATATATGGATAAACTAATAATAATGGAAGTCGATCGAGTACAACGATTCACCATCTCTTGTCTCTTGGACTTGGAGGGCGTTTATTTTTAAGGTAATTGTTTAGTTGAGAAAACAAGGCGTGTGCCATTAGCAGATAAACAAAAACGTAATTAATGAACACACTCCCCACTAATTAGGACAATATTTCTTTTTACCAATAAGTTAGAAGTGTAGAACTTTAATGTCCCATTTGCCAAACACGCCCGACAAAGTAACATGTCAAACAAATAGAACCGAACAATAATTCTAACCAAGATTGGAACAACTAGCTACCTTCCTAACTTTTTAACTAGATTTTCCATTTTCCCACCCAAATTCATACCAATCTTGTAAGGCATGAAGATGCCCTCCCTCCCTCCCCTTTTCAACTAACTCAATACATGCATAATTGTCATACTTGACCTACTTCATAGTGATCACCTAAGCACCACCAATTACCATACTTCTCTTGTTATACAAACATGTATTCTATGGTTTACCATTAAACATACATTTTATGTATTAGGCATACCACAAGACACAACATAATGAACTACAATTTTTTTATCTTTATCTTAGGCGGGTATAATTGATCTAGAGCATTTCTACATTTTTGGTTGTTGACTACTGTTGTTGTGACTTGAAAACAAATTATCTGTTGTCGACTGAAAAATCATGGTCAGGCCGTATGGGGAAGGTATGATATGTATCTTCTCAATATTTGTAATTTGTATATCTCAAGTAAAGTGAAACTGACTCTCTCTTGCTCATGGATCAGCTAACAAATATTATATTAATGAACCACGTAAATCTATATATTCTTTACTTTCTTGTATTGTCGATTTCTCAATCCAATATAACAACTACCAAAATGATTTTAGCTCCATCAATATTCATATGAATTCTGATAAAAATATAAGCAAAACCATCCTTCCATTTCAAATTTATAATAATACTTTCTTACGAGTGTTGAATGGATGGATGAATTCTTCTTTTGTATGATAGTAGAAATTATCAAACATTTGCCTCAATTTGGTCGTTAATTAGTGCCGTCCACTAGCACGCTGACTTTTGGCTGTCTTCATTGCCATAATTATAGGGGGAAAAGCGGTCAATTTTTTATGTTGTTGGAGCCGTGATGAAGTCTCGTTAAGGAGTCCCAAACTTAATGCTCTCTTTGCCCAACGACATCATAATTAAAAACCATCGAACCAGTTTTCTCTTTTCATGTGTGCGCATAGCATAGTGAAGATAAAAAAAAAGGAGTTATTTGAATTACAAATTCCATTATAAAACTTGTATTAAAGGTTGATTAACGAGAATGATGAAAAATGGAAAAAAAAATAGTACAATAAGGGGCGAATATGTAATTAAGGATTGCATATATTTCATGAATACAAATATTGTTATGGCAAACATTAGGAAATATCAAGAGAGCAATATTAGTAATGATCAATGTCGGAAATAGACCTTTATAAAGTTATAATGGATTAGCAATCCTAGTTAAGGTTAAGAGAGATTTCAAGTTTGAGTTTCGAAATAAATTTAATTTCATCTCTCTCTAGATTAATATTGATCACAAATGCATATTATGATTTAATTTGTTATTGTTCTTTGCTTGTTCTCTCGTGCCAAATTCCTATAGCAACCGAAGCTCGAGTGCGAGCTCTAGAATGTTGTCTCGTAGTTGCCTCGCCCGACCTCACCATCCCTCGTCATGAGCATTGACTGCAAGACGAGTTGAGATGCTCTTTATTGTTCACAATCCTCGTTGTTATTTTTCATCGAATTACTACTTTAATTAACTATTACGAAAGGGTTAGTGCTTTCTCAATTCCTAACACTCCTCCATCTCTAGTATTAACCAATATGCACTCCAAACTTGAACCCACTAAGAAAGTCAAATGATTTTATAATTACCCACAAAAAATGGAGAGTTTTTGTAGACATCCCATTGCCAAGTAAAATCTTTTGTTTGTTATTCTTTCTCCCATGTGGGGACAAAAGCTAGCTGAAAAAAAAGAAGTAGTTGGTGGTTTGGCAAGTGTGCAAGGCTTCTAGAACCTTAAATAGGGTGGGTAGTTGTAGTAGGCCCCTCCAATCTCTTTGAAAGAATGGCCAATTTGGTAGGCAGACCAACCATTATCTCATTTCTAATCAGTTTCATGTTATTATTTAATAAAATTAGAAGGAAAAAAAATGAAAATGGAAACAAAGAAGGTGAAGGCACGTGAATGGAAGGTGATAAGAAGTCCCACAAACACAAACTAAAAGGGCCAAATCGATCGATCCACCAACTCATCACCTCATCAAAAAATCATCTCTCTTTGTTCTTTATAAAATTGGAGGGAACACCAAATAGCCCACTCCCATGTTCACAACTCATGCATACAATGATATAACAATGGCTTAGCATAGTGTGAGATTCAAGATATGTAACTAGAGATGCAATAATAGAGCTGGCCCCTCTTGATTTGCCATGTTAATTTGGTAGATGATTGTTGTCCCATGTGTGCCAATCACTCCAAGTTATAAACAATCACCATTTTCTCGGGTCTAAAGTGAAATAGATGAGCTAATAGTGTTTCATAATCATATTTTCTAACCGAAATCGAATTGATTTTGTGGAAGAACATCTAAGGAAAATTACTCTACGTTTTGCTTTATTTTAGAAGAAAAGTAATATGGGAATGGATGGAAAATTGGGAATGATATACTGCTCTGTTCTAGCTTCTGATGCTCTCCATCTCATTGCCAGGAATATATGACGGGTTCAATCTACTGTATGTTTTCTTTATCGTGACTGCATGCTGGGTTTGGCCTAGAGTTTAAACCTTTAGGTATGTGTTTGGTGATTGATGCTCTATTGTGAGCAATGCTTGTAAAGTGAACCTTACTTACTTTCTTTTCCTTACAATTAATTAATTTAAAGTCACCCTTATCTAAAAAATCACTAAACTATCTATATGTATGGTAATCTTAAAGTCAGTTCTGCCTATAACATGCATATTGTGTACATTAAGTTTTCTCCACCAAAACATGTATATATATTATTATTATTCGGTATTTCGTATAGCATAATATCCATATGCTCAATCAAGCTACCATCAACTTATTGATCCACAAGTACTCAAAAAGTACATGAGTTTGTCAATGATTAATACACGGAAAGGACACACATCAATTCTACATTCAAATTATGTTGCTCTCTTATCAAGTACAAGAAGTGCCAAACAAAATTAATACAATGATTATACACATTTCCTACCCCTTTTTTAAAACCAATTGAAACTAACTGTTCATTCCCTTGGATTCAACAACATCATTAAACAGCTAATCCATGTAAGGAAATGAAGAAACCACCCATTAATTAACAACTTGCTTAATATGAATAATCAGCTAGTTGGTCAATTTGGTAGATCTTAGCTACATGCCTATTTCTGCTCATAAACTAAGACAGAAGAGGTCCACCACATCATGAGCTGATAAAGCCCACAGAAAAGCTAACCCTTTAGAGAGGATAGAAAGAAAGAAAGAAAGAATGGAGTAAGAAAGCTAATCAAGGATTAATTAATGGTAATGATGAGTAAATCTGGGGATAATGCACGTGAGTAGAGAATATAATCCGAACCTTCTCGCTTGCTTTTTTTAGTTGTAAAGCCAAACAACAAAGAAACGAACATGTGATGTGTTTGAGAGGTAGGTAACCGAATCTCACAATTATTATGTAATAATAATTCATTTTTAGTTTCCAAAACCATATAACAATAAATTAATTATATTGGGACATCATAATTAAATAATAATTATTGTTATAAATAGAAAACAGTTGGTAATTAGTTAGAGCGGTGATGGTGGCGGTGGAGGGGAAAAAAGTCGCAAAGCTGGGGCACTGGCCATCATGTGCATATTTGGAGTGCAGTGTGATAAATAATGTATAATTAATTAAATTTTCATTATAATTAATAAATTAATTAATCAATAAAATTTAGGAAATATGGAATTTCTAACAATTCTCAACTCAGCCAATCTAGGCCACCCATGTGGATTCTCTACTCAGCCCTTCGTCCGTTACACGTCTGCAATATTTGGTACCTAATCTTTTTGTTTAGTGCTACAGTTGCTTGTTGGTGCTATTAAGTAACTAGCTAATTAGAATATATAAACGTGAAGGGGGGAATTGTAAAGAAGATAAAGTAATGGGGCAGAATTGGAAGGAAAACTAGAACAACGTCAACTGTCAAACTACTGTCTGTATTATATAATTTACAAATAACTTATCTCAGTTTAGCTCACTGATAATAGATAGATAGGTATAAATCTTTCTTAATTAGGGCAAGCGGTCACCACTTCAACTAATGTTGAAGTTTTTTTTCCTTCCAATCTTTTGGTTATATTTGGATAAAGTATCATATGCACTATGTATACACTGAAATTATAAAAAAAAAGATTTTTTTAAAGGATAGTGCCTAAGGATATGCCGCAATTTCTTGAGATTCATAACTACGAACTATATCAAAATTATCGTTCCTGTTGTTGATGATGTTGCCGATTTTCAGCTCATGTGTGCTGGAAATCTACTTTTCAACCCATAGCATGGTCCGTTACTCCAAGTGACACATATGTTATGAAAAAACCTACATGCATGAGACAATTTGTAATGCTCGAGTGTTGCATATATATTGATTGACAAAGCATGAGTTTAAACAAAGTCCATTTTGATGATATTTATAATCGATGAGGAACACTTCTCTCTTGTATTTCAACCTAAATAACTTGTTAGTTAGACTTTACAGTTTACACGAATGTTAAGCATCACACCTTTAACTATGATGAATTCATATAATTTTTCTAAATGATTCCTTCATATGTTATAGTAGGGCGTTAAAAACTATAATATATATACGCATTAATTAAATAGATCAAATAGCCAATTTATACTACGATTGTTTTCATTAACATAATCAGATTTTTACAATACATATATTTTCCCATTTCTCTTGGTCAAAGCTCGAGTGCTCCTCTCTGTGGCTTCCAAATTAAGAAGAGAGGTGTGTAGTGGGGGGATATAACATATATGTTTGACGCGTACAGATTAATATATATGCTCTCTCATGCACATGATCTCAATGCTGTGCACGTTAATTGCTTTAAGCAACAGTAGTTTGGTGAAGAAGCAAACTGATAACTAACTAATAATATGGATTAATTAGTTAGGTCTACCTAATCAGATAGCCAACTGTCTCTGCATGGCCATTCCTTCAACATGTGTCATCTTACCCCACATGGTTTAATGCTTTCAAACTCTTAATTTCTTCTGTCCCCGATCTCCAATTTCATACATCTATACTTATTGTTTGGTTGCAACAAGTTTAGTTTATTCAATAGGGCATAGCCTTGATCAGATGAGCCAGACATATATGAACAATGAAACAATGCGGGATTGATTTGAATCGTTGTAACTGGAGGAGGAGGGACTAAAGTTTACTGGTTATTTTAATTTCTAAATCTGTGCAAAATTTACTCTGTGATTTTACCTGTATTTCTAAATTGAGGGGGATTACAGCCCCTCCTCGCTCGTTGCAACCTAACTCCTCCGGCACTGTCTCTCATAGTTTGCTTTGTTACACGTTACGAGAGTTCTGATAATTCGTGTATTCGAATAGCTCATGTATTTTGTAGGTCGGATTGTCAGAATTCATGTAGTGTCATAATATACTACCTAGTTTGCATGAAGTCGTATATAAGAAGATATGAAATCTCGAATAATTAACTTGTATAAATTCAAAGTAGAGGAGACACTATGGTGGCAAGAACTATCAAATTACATGATGGACTAATATTATGATTGTCCTAAAATGAAACATGAAAAATATAATGAAATGTGAGATCTAATATTTGGTTATTAAACTAACCCCTTATATGTATGCACAATGTACCTATATAGGAACAGAAATAATTAGTATATGACGATTACTAGACAAAAGTACCCAAGAACGAAACTGAAGAGGAAGAATGACTCTATGATGAGTTTTACTAACTAATCGTGCAACTTAAACTTCATCAGAGGAAACAATTCTTATACAATGTCTTTTTTTTTTCTCTCTCGAAAAATTGTAGTACTCGAACTCAACTCCACTACTTCATTTCATTGAGTACTTCTGTGTGAGCTGATGCAAGATATCTCATTTGGATCCTATCCAAAATATATTGATTTTGGCTTGTAGGGTCGCAATAAATAGCACGAGAGAGACAGAAGATGGACTTTGTGGTTGTGGGAAATAAAGAAAAATAATAAGGTGGTGAAAATGAACAAAGTTAGGGAAGGAAGAAAAGGATGGATAGATTGTGAGCCCATTCATAGCCAATTAGGTCTCTTATTAAGGAGGTGTGGGTGGTGGTTGGTAGATAAGCCCATCATGTATTATCTTTTCAAAAAAACAAAAGATAAGGTTGATGGAAAATTTTATTTAAAGACTTTTTTTTTTAATTTTATCTTTGCACGGTTAATCGTTAAATAGATGTGATGATAATTTATTTACGAAATTATTATTGCGTCCATTTAACGGTCACATGCGACAAGTTAGCATCTGATTAAAATATCTAATTCTTGTGAGGTGGTTCTCGCAAAGAGATTATTGATTTGTAGTAATTTATTAACAATTCGAATTGTTGGGATCAAGGTTAACCTGACTTGTATGATTAGTACGGCATCAATAAAACATTAATCGGAGATGGTTTCATAATAACATGGAACCGGATTTCTAACTAACTTAACCTATTTGAACGTTGAGATCTTTAAGTAATTACAGAGATAATTACTTTGTTTAGCCGATAATTAGACAATAATAGTATGTGGCTGTCCACGAAAGGACGGTGACAAGAGAGGGAATTAGCTAGGAAAGTAGCCGAAAAGAGAGCTTTTGTTTACTTCTAGAAGGAAAGCCACGTTATCGATCTCTTCCTTATTGCTTACTGTTTTCTTCTCTTTGGCACGTCACTTATCACTAAGTAGATAACAAATTAGGTAGATAACAAATTAAAAGAACATTAATTAATTACCACTAATTTAGTAATTTCTATATGTTTTTGTCAACTCTTTAGTCATATGATACGATAAGGACAAATATTAGCCGATAAAAAAACGGAAAAGAGCTTTCCTTAAAATGCCTTCTCAATTCTCATCCTTCTCATCCCACCGTTTTTTTTTGTTATTAGCTTAATCAAGAATTATCTTCCTTAATCTCCAAATATATTGATTTCTTTCTTTTCTTTTCTTTTCTTTTTTCATAAATGGATGTTGAGCATCTCAGCCTTAATTCAAAACCAGACGAGTTCAGAAAGTCCCTCAAAGTCATACAACAACCAATACACAAGATTGGAATCTAACATAGGAAAATCATATGACCTCAGAGGTAGGTGGTGGCCTCTGCTAGCGATAAAATCAACACACTTATTCCCACTCACGCTGCACAAGCTCTCGAAATCGTTGGATGGCTGCGGAGTGTCGATGATCCTCTCTGTTGTCGTGCGTAAGAAGCTCAATAACGTACCGAGAGTCGAGCTGAACCTGGACCTTGCGATAGGCCCAGCTCCCATGCCAACTGAAGCCCTTCTAAGTCACCTCTCAACTCAGGTCGGGTGATAGAGCAAATCTCGAGGTTAATTGTGAATGGTGCAAGACAACTTCCTGTATGATCTCTAATCAGGCCGCTAGCAGTGGCGTGGCCTGAGTCAGGGTAGATGGAGCCGTCAGAGTTGAGAGCAGCCCACTCGAGAGGAGGCGGCTTCAACGAGAGCAACTCCTCCGTTCCAGCGGGTTGACTTATTTCTTTTCAAGGCAATAAATTAAACGCTAAATTTTATGTCGTTATTTGTGATATGAACGCGTGATCACATACGAGAAATGTATTGTACAATTTGAAACATGATTTATTTGTTGAATTACATCATTGTTAAAAACAAAATTGGCCTCCCTAATTTAAAAATTTGACTCCATCACAAGCGAAATTAGAGAACCTGAAATATCAAGTTTGAGTATCACGTACTTTGTACAAATACTGACATTTTCGGGATCTTAATCCACAACAAGTAATTTTCGAGATGCACCCTCTTTCAACCTGACTTCATCGCTATCTGTTTCTTTTTGTTGTTGTTTTCTCTCTGTTTCTATAAATAAATTGTGATCACCATTATAAAAAAAAAAAAATCTCCCCTCAAACTTGTTAACTCATTTAACTTGAGCAAGACTACTATCCTAATCACACGACTTACATTCTAATGACGATCTTTGCTCTAATTGGAGATTGGAGGTAAAAAAAAAAATTTCACTAGCTACATCACCATGATAAATTTTGATTTTTGTTTGAGATATTAGTTGATGAAAATGAGGATTTACCTTCTAGTGACGATCTTTGCTTCCAATTAGTTGATGAAAACCCAAAATTTCTCAAAAACAAAATTAATGCATTACTTACAGTATGGATATGCTCTGGAGCCATACAGATAATGAAAGGTGACAACACATGAAAGCAATAAAGAGATGAAGATTGAAGAAGATGAGAACTCAATTTAAAGAAACAAAATAACTGCTAGCAGTAGCTGCCAGTTGCAAAAAAAGTGGTACTTTATTTTTGGTAAATTTGCAAAAGTGGACACTTTTGGGTGATTGGACTGAAAAGACTGAAAAGAAAACATAATGGATCGAAATTACTAAACAAAATAAATATGTATAAGGAAAAAAAAAAGCAAGGTAGGTGGAGGTTGGTAGATTGTGAGGTTAGAAGCTACAACTACATTTGTCTTCCATCATCAATTCATGCATCTAACTTCTTATTAGTACCTTCTCAATTCTCATTCATTACTACTACGGCTACACAAATAATGTACAATTTTTTTTAGATCACAAATATTTTGGGATATTGTCATAGGACCCCCTATGCTTTAAGGGACTTCCTGATTTGGTCTATATATCTTGTGGAAATTGCTTTTGGGTCCATACGTTTTTCTTATAAATATGTACTGATATTATTGACGAACAAGAAATCAAGAAAGAATCCTCGACAAGTTACGCGACTAGATGAAAATTATTGTAGGAAAAAACCTCAAAACCGAATCCTCGTGCGTGATTCGAGAGGGTTGAATCGAAGCACCAAGGAAAATTCTAGCAATTGTCCGGGATATTGGGGCTTGCCGCTTGGGCTCGGACCCCTTACTCATGAACTCCATATGAGGCCCAAAACTACAAAGCTTCTAATTAGACTGTGTAGACCGGATTGCCACCGAGTCGAGTTAACTCGCAAGATGAACAAAGCTTAGCTCAAACTCGACCTGTTTGTAAACCAGTCGAGTTTCAATCTAGTTTTTTCCGAGCAAAACGTCGATAATAATTAATTATCGATACTCTAACAACACAAGTTATTTACACTAATTAGTACTTGTCATCATGTTATTAGAGAATATAATAGTATAATCAAAAGATTTTGTATTTAAATTTAAAAAACGTTCAATATCCATAGTTGTGTTGAACGCAATATCAGACAAGTTTTATGCAAAGTGCAGACTTTAACTTCACACTCCCAACAACTGAGTTTTTAAACTAATCAGTTCTTGACATTCATCTTCCATATATGTTCTTCAATTAAACATATAGTTCGTAACTATCAAATGTACGTGACGATAAGTTTACAATTAGTAATTATCTTATATATCCAACTTCAAGAAATTGCAAAACACAAATCTAACAACGACATAAACAACATAGCCAATGGAGCTCTGTGCCATGGGGCCTATTGGCACAGGCACAGAGCAAGTCCTTATAATCTGTCTCAAGACTTAGAAAACAAATAATTGATTTTATAGACAACTAAGGGCTCGTTTGGAATCTTCCATTCCATATTTTATATTCTCTCGTGATCCGTCGGTTGTAAACTTTCTTGTTTGTGGTTTTTTTAATGCATCAATCGCCATTATCAAAAAAAATATATTTTATATTCTCAGTATACATGTATATGAGAATACAATTTTTTTTTTGACTTGGCGTAATAACAGAATGCATGTATTCATAATCTATGTTGTATTCCTAATACATAGAAAATGAACTATAGTGAATCTTACCTCTCTGGTGAGATTTTAGTATCCATAGTTCATTTAAACTATAATTCATGCATTCTTTTATGATTTCCAAACAAGATTTTCTTCAGTGTGTGCAGCTTACTCTTTAACCCGAACTCACGGTCTGTTGCGTTACCAGATTTTATGACACTAGATTGTTTGTCCATTTTTGAAGGACTGATTAATAACCCGAGCGTATACAATTTTCCCGCAAAATAGTGGTGTAATTTCCTCTTCCATTTTCATTCTTCTCGATCGCGATCCATCTATCCTTCATCACAAAATGGTGGTGTTGATATAACAAAATTATATGATAAGAAGATGGATAATAATATAACAAAAATGTTATATTAATATAGATCATTTATTTTAAACACAATTGACTTAGTTCCAATTCGTCATGTGTAACCTCCGACATACTATAACAAAAACGTTAATATAACAAAATTATATCATAAGGAGATAGATAATATAACAAAAACGTTATATTACTATATATAATTTATTTTAGACGTCACAATTAACTTAGTTTCCAATTTGCCACAAACAACTTTTAACGTTATATAACCAAAATGTTGATATAACAAAATTGTAACATAAGGAGATGGAGAATATAACAAAAATGTTATATTAATATAGATAATTTATTTTAAACGTCACACTTGAATTAGTTTCCAATTCACCACCTATAACCTCTAACGTTACAGATTTTGTATCACTGGATTGTCGGCCCATTTTTTAAGGACTCGAGCGAATAAAATTACCCGCCAAATGGTGACTTAATTTTGTCCTCTATTTTTGTTCTGCTCATTATCCATCTCTCCTTCTACTCTTCACTGAGCTGTGAGCTCCATGTCGAAGCCGACGTCGCCGCCGCCCACACCTGCCGACGTCCCGCACGCTGGGCATCGGGGGTCGAGCTTCCTACCGCTTCTCGTGATGCTGCTGGTGCTCACCGCCGTGGTTGCCTTTGTCGGGCTCCTAACGGCTGGGCGTTGGGCCTGGCAGCGTTGGAGCGGACCTGCTCGGCCGTTGTCTGCCCGCGCCCAGCAGTAGCTTACCGTTCGTGTGCACATAGGTGAGGTGGAAGACGGTGCAGAGAATGAGTGTGCAATTTGATTCTTCCTAATTCTAAGGCACCTATCCTCATTTGTATCCTCTAACATTTTGTGCTTAATCACAACCCTCTCCATCATGTAACCCCTGATACCCTCAAGCATATCAATGATTCTCATACCCCTAAACTTAGTAATAGAGCCGTTCCACATTTCACAAATGTTACTTTCTACCGAGTCACACTTAATAACGGAAGAGAGGAAGGATCGACAGATGTATCTAGGTTCATCATTCGTGAATTCTGTAAAGGGTGTGTTAAGTCTGTTAGTACCTTGAATCTCCTCAATTTCTTTAGTCGCTTCGAATCAACTTCATTGCAAGCATAGACACACTTCCAAAAACACTTACACACCCTATCTGTCTTGTTCTTAACCTTCGTGTTTGCATAAACTTGTCTTGCACACTTTCGATGTTCAGCATGAGGCAACAGCTCACGTAGAGCATCAACCCAGCTTTGATCACAACAAATAAGATCAGAAAACTAGCCTTGATCAACCCAGCCTTGCATACATTTGATATTAATAATTATCACAATTTTTTATATATATATATATGGCAAGTTCTATGGTACCCTGGGTAAAATCCGGGGTACCGCATACCTTGAGTATGAAAACACTATCTAGACCTTGAATTGACCGATCTTTCGGACATGATACTATAATCTAACCCTTAAAGATCAAAATCTAGGTCTTAATTCTCCCAATCTTGTACTCCAAGATCAATTTAATTAGAAACAATAATCGACGGTTATGATTCGTCCAAATATAGACACAAAAAGGAATGCACCATCTTATGGTTTATAGATTATGATTTAGATAATTAGGACCTAGGGTTCACTCATTAAGGGTTAGGATATAGTATCATACCCAAAAATCCTGCTAATTCGAGGTCTAGATACTGTTTCCATACTCAAGGTATGTGGTACCTCGGATTTCACCCGGGGTACCATAGAAGGCACCATATATATATATATATATATATATATAAATCGGCATGAATCAGTACAAACCGATTATACCAGTGCTCGACCCATTACACTTGCTAAATCGGCACAACGATATAAACCGGGTTGACATTTCTCTGTTTCTAATCTCTTCACTTCATTGATATAACCAATATCGACCTAAAAGTTAAATGAACCTAAAATGGGCCTCTCATGCTAGAAACGTTATATTTTATGATAGAAATAAATGTGTTCACATATTGCTAAATTTTGTGATTGCTTGTTTGTCGACAAATATTCGTTTAAGGGTGGAAAATGGATACTAAATGAAGAATTAGTATACTCAGAATACACATTTTTACGGCACCACAAAACTCTCTAGACCAGTTACCTTTTTGCTAACATGCAGAGGGGTATAGCCGATCTGCACAAGCTGAAAATCGTTAGCATCACAATTAACCTGTACATGTACATATTGACAATTTGGTAAACAGAAAGGCACCAACACCCGCAGAAAGTTGAACGAACATTAATACACATTTCATTATCTACCAAGTTTGAAGCTTCGCCAATCTCTAGTCAACTACAATCAGTTATCTTTAACCTGCCAATACCACGACCACTTGATACAAAAGACACTGAAATCAAGCAACCGCTTCCATTACCATCCTTGAAAAACACTACAAACCATCTTTCAGAGACTATTCATCATTCATACAAGACCAAAATCTACAGATCTACCGGGTGCCTACTTGGGGGTTAAACAAACTCTATACATGCGCAGCAGGAGGAGATAGACACTTGACATCTTCCCATGGGCGTGTCAGACAAAAAGGAGGTGAGGGAACCGAGGTTGGGCGGGCAGCAAGCGGCTCTCACTGGCTAGACGCGAAGGAGAGCCCGTTGGACTTCCAGAGACCTGAGAGCAGATTCGCCAAAGTGCTTCCCATTTGGTAGCAGCAACCCACCTTCACGGGGCAGCATGATCTGTCTAGTACTGGGGCCACCATCACCGGGAGCTGGCGAAACTTCCTTCATCTGCTTGACATACTTAAAGAACGCAGAAACTTGGCGTGCATAGCTTCAGAAAAAGAGATTAATAATTACATTAGTTCATCTGCAGATGGACTATAGTGAAGAAATGTGCAAGTAAAGAAAAAAACACCAAGGTCTCACATATCACCATTACATCTGGTGGTGAAGCTCATTTGGTCTGATAATTTAAGGTGGGTTGGATCATGTTTCGGTTAGTTTGTTCACTTATAATATTATCCGCAGTTCACTAATACTTGGATCATCTGAATCAGAAGCAACAAAAAAAAGTACTAAGACGAGGATATGATACTCACTGCTCTTTGGCTTCGGTATCCCTGTTAAGGTCAATGTTTGCTTCACAATCCAAAACCAAGGCAGGAACCTATTCATAAACAGGATATGATTTCAACCATCTTTCTCCATAACCAAGTGGTATTCCTAATAGTAAAGGCAGTATATCATACCTTCTGAATGCTGGAGTGCATGTGATCACCTTGCAAGAAGAACACTTGATCCCTTATATCAGGATGTATCGAGCTATCAAGTTGCAAGGGAGGCCTACTGACAGACAAGACCCCATGATTCCCAATATCAGCGGGGAACAGCCAGCTTTCATGCTTTTCATGCAAGTCACGAAGATAGTCTAGGGAAACTCCACCCTCTTCTTCCCTCTTTCTCTGCTTCATTCTCTTGTGACAGGTGTCAGGGGTTGCTCTAAGATAGATGAACCCATCAGGGATAAGACCGGGTAGAACTGATACAACCGGATCAAACCACGAGTCATATATGCTTATCTCCATCTCGTTCATCCATTTTGCTTCATGCACTGCTCGCACAAACACCTTAACAAAAAACACGAACACTATGAGTACTAAAGCACGGATAAACAAAGGATAAACTGCACGAGGAACAGGCAACCCCTCAAGAAACCACTGCTCATGCATTCATTCTAAAACACAAACTCCAATATGATCATTAACAATGCAAATGGCGAGATATCACCAACTTTCAAAAGAGCTTACCATTCGGTCACTGAAAACGCTTCGCTCCATGAGCCTAAGAGGCTTAAGCCCAATTGATGACTCTCGTTCCTGCATAACCCTTGTGACGAAAACATAGTTCTGGAACGTGTAGGCATACCTGTTTGGCTGAGCATAAAATGCGTCCAGTATATTGAAATGATCAGGCCCTATATCCTGCCATTTATCAATCGGTTCTGGCACCACTTCAACAAGGTCTCTCAGCTCAATCGTATCACTGACTATCTTCTGAAGAAATGTAGTCTTTCCAACACTGATATTACCCTCCACGCAGAAGGTGATCCGCTTCTTAGGCATGTGGCGGGCATCCGAGCTTGTATCTTTCAGCTCTTCATCTACACTCTCTTTGATGAACGTGGTTATGCTCTCGGCATGGTTTCGGTGGATGATCCCTACAGAACTCTGTAAATACTCCACCATTGTCTCATTTTCTTTCCCTAGAAACTGCAATTTTCCAAGGGCATGGAGTTCAAATTAGCTAAAATTCTAATGGGTGTAATTCAATTCAAGCAGATTCAAAAGGGTTTCAGCAATTTTTTTTACCTTGTCCTTATACAGCTGCTTGAGCTCAGTCATGCCGCTCAGCCCTTTCTCCACTAATTTCCTCAAGTTCTTAGGGCCAACACCAGGAATTGTCAGCAAATCAGCGTTACTTACAGCGTCGCCGCTCGGCGAGCCCTTCTGCCGCCGGCTTATTTTCCCCTGCTGCTGCTCCTTCTCCTTCTCTTCCCCGCCGTCGTCCTTCTCGCTGCCATCATCTCCACCGCTCTTCAGCCCATCAACAGCGGCCGCAGATGCATTAGCAGCAGCAGAGCCCACGAGCTCGGCCGCTGAGAGCGTGCGGCGGCAGAGGAAACGACCCACCTGCCAGGCCCTGAGCGGGGTTCCAGCTGCTGTGGTCCTCCCGGTCCCTTCGATTGCGCTGCGGCAGGCGCTGTAAAGGGTGGAATATGAGCGAGAACACGTGGCTGCCGCCTTGGGTACGGTTAAGGAAGGATTCCGGACGAAGGAGGAGGCGGCGGCGGTGGAAGAGGATAAAGCGGTAGCGTGGCAGGGCATTGAGAGAACAGAAGAAGAGGGTTTTGAAGAGGGAGCTCTGAAGAATAAAGACAGAGTTGGTTTAAAAAGAGAGGAAGAACAGAGGAGCGGGCTGCTCCTTGACGGCCCGCGTTGCAACGACACCTTCATCGCCGGCGCCGACAACAAGCATTATCTCGCTCGGCTGAGACGGGAAGAGATAGAGAGAGAGTGGGGAAACAGCGAGGCGGGAAACGGTGTACAGCCTCAGGTGAAGTAAAAAAAAAAAAGAGAGAGAGCAGAGAGACTGGAAAAGGGGAGAAACGAAAGGAAACTAGGAAAGCAAAGGGGTAAAGTAAAAGGGAAGGAGAGAAGAAGACTGAAGAAAGGAGGAGGAAGGGCTTTAGTTTGAAGAAGAAGAGGAATGAGGAATTCTTCTGCCTCTGTGATTAGGGTTTTTGGGTGTGTGTCAGCTCGGCGGTCTTCACGTCTTCTTCCCACGGTTGTGTTGTTTTTTCTAATTAAAAAAGAATTATTTTCGTGGCATGGGGTTTATTATTGAAATTAATTGATTTTATTAGTTTTTAAATAAATAAATAAATAATTCGTCTGGCCCGTGTTTTGTCGTGCGTGGCAATTGGATTTGTGCAAGCGCAGCGCAGAGATCAAGCATAGACATGGGCTGGGGTTTCAGTTTCCGTGATCCAAGTTTGGGCTGGGCTAAATCCAATAAATGGTCCATAATGATCACCAAATATTGGGCTAGAACGCGTGATCGAATGGAGTTGTGACATTTATATTTGGAATTATCGTTGACGAGCAGTCGTCTCTTAATGTCGTGGTCCAACTACATCCACTCACTCACTCACCCTTTATCGAATGCATTATCAGACGTAGAAAGCCATCCTTGGTTGCCTTTTTCTTTCACATTTTACTTCGGGCAACAGCAGATCTGAAAATGAAGATCGACGGCGGTAGACGCGATCGCGACGAAGACGGGGATGAACTCGTTCTGAGCCGACCTGCCAAGCGGCAGACAACACTCGTTAGTGAAATCATCACCCGTGGTACTACTCTTTTCCATCCCTCCAACCTCTTCCTGCGCTTCCTCCCCAGATTCATTCGCCCCCATCTGTTCTACCCGCCGTGGCCGTCGTCGTCGCGGGACATAGCTCCTCCTTCTCCTTCCTCCGCTCCTTCTTCGTCGCTTGTTCTGCCTCCGAAGCACGACGTCTTCATCAGCTTCAGAGGAAGCGACGTTCGCGATACCTTCCTCAGCCATCTCTACTCCTACCTGAAACACCAGAAGAAATTCGCCGTCTACAAAGACGATTCAGATCTGGAAAGAGGAGAAGAGATCTCGCCGTCGCTGTTGGATGCTATCGAGAGATCCGCGTGCTACATCGTGATTTTCTCCCCCAATTATGCCGATTCACCGTGGTGCCTGGACGAGCTCGTGAGGATCTTTGACTGCGTTCAACGCTACGGGCGGCGGGTAGTTCCGGTGTTCTACGGGGGCGTGGATCCTTCTGATGTCGAAAATCAAACTGGAAGCTACCGGAAGCTTCCGAAGGAGGAGACGGTTGGCAAAATTCGGAATTGGAAAGCTGCGTTGAGTAACGCAGCCGCCATTTCGGGATTCGATTCACGAGTTACCAGGTACGCTTTGCGTAATTTTTTCTCGTTTCTTTCATACCGCAGTATCCAATTCGATAGAAATAGAACTACTTGATTCGTTTTGCTGAATAACTATTTCTTTTCTCAGACCTACAATCAGTAAATATTTCGTTTAATACACGGATATGTACCCGTACACATTTTATCTATTTAAAATTTTTGTATCTGTATTATTGTCAAGCCGTTTCATTTATTTCGGTTCATTTGACCACTCTAGTATTAAACACGTATAGAACTCGTATAACATGATTAATATCCGTATCTAATAAATTTGCTAAGTTTACTATTATTTATGTATTTTTAAAATAATAAAATTTATATATTTGTGACTCTTTAAATACTATTAAATTTGCAAAGTAAAATACCCGTATGTACGTATTTGTACGTAACTTTTCTCGTAGCGCAGTATCCAATTCGATAGAAATAGAACTACTTAATTTGTTTTGCTAAACAGCTATTTCTTTTCCCAGACCTGAATCAAAACTAATTGAGGAAATTTATAGAGCTGTGCTACAAGCTCTATCCGCTCAAATGGTACCGGCTTCATATTCCAACGTGGGTTTGGTGGGAATAGAGAGGAGGATGAATACGTTCCAACAGTTGGTAACCAGTGGGAGTAAAAATTTGACTATAGGACTGTGGGGGACGGGTGGCATCGGGAAGACGACTCTTGCAATGGCATTCTACTATAGGTTCTCTAGTCAATTCGAACGCTCGTATCTCTTGAGTAATTTTTCCGACAAGTTAAGTGGTTCATCGCAGTTGTCTGATGGCTTGCAAAATGATTTATTCTCTGCTTTGTTGGGTGATGAGAATGCGGAGAGAATATCTCGGGATTTCAAAGAACATCGGCTTGGTCGTACGAGGGCTTTGGTTGTCATCGATGATGTGGGCGATGATGTTGAGGACATCAGGCACTTGAACGATTTGTTTTACAGACGATATTGTGACTTATTTGCACCAGGAAGTGTAATTATACTGACAAGCAGGAATAAACAACTTCTTACGAATGTGTGTCATCATGTTTATGAAGTGGCGGCTCTTGATAAACATGAAGCTCTTCAGCTATTCTGCTTTCATGCATTCAAAGAGCATCATCCTCCAATTGAGTATGAGAAGTGGTCCAAGAGAGCTATCACTTATGCGGAGGGTAACCCCTTAGCTCTCACTATTTTAGGCTCACATTTGTATCGTAGGGACAAAAACTTTTGGGGTGTCGAGTTGAAAGCCTTGGAGCGTCACCCAAATCAAGTGATAAAGACGAGAGTCTTTCGGAGGAGTTATGATGGACTAGATCGAGTAGAGAGAAATGTATTCCTTGATATTGCATGTTTTTATGGTCGATCCCAGCATGTTACTGTCAAGGAGTTGAAAAGACTATTGGATGGGAACTATGTTGAACATGGTGGGAGTGAAAACCTTATTACTAAATTTATTGACAAGTCTATGTTAACAACGAGGGGTGTTTCTGTTTATCGTAGCGTACAGATGCATGGGTTGCTGAGTGATTTGGGCCGTAGCATTGTCAATGAAGAGCTCCGACTTGAAAAACGTGTGTGGCTGTTTGAAGATCAAGACATATATAGTTTCTTTAAACAAGGCATGGTACGTGGACAGAGTAAACACTATTCCAATTCGATGCTAAACTAATGACACATAACCTATGTTGAGTAATTATTATCTCGTTTACTATACATACAAATGAGCTAAATGTTGAGTAAATTTTTCATTGTTATTTCTTCCACTAAACAGGGAAGTAAAGTCACCCGAGGCATTCGTTCGGATGATTCCAGTGGTGTGTCGGGGATAGAGGCAATACATATCCAATGTGATGCGTTTGTGAAGTTGGAAAATCTTAGATACCTTGTGATACGTCAATCTGACACAAAATTGGTTCTTTCTAAAGACGGTTTGAGATGCCTACCGAATTCATTGGTAATTTTTATTTGGGACTCATTCCCAATGAGATATTTACCATATGAATTTTGTCCGGAGAATCTTACGACACTGTCTTTGCCTTCAAGCAACGTAGAACGACTTTGGGACGACATGCAGAATGTGGTTCGTATAAATTTTTAGTGTTTTTGTGTGAGATATATCTCTTTTATCCATTTGTTTGCTTTTCAATATTTAAGCCTATCTTATTATCAACATGCAGGATTTAAGAAATTTGAAGTTCCTTGATCTAAGCGAATCCAAATACTTGAAGAAGTTGCCTGATCTCTCTACGGCTAAAAGACTGGAAATAATCTATCTTTGTTCCTGTGTAGGCTTAGTGGAGCTTCCTCTATCGATTTTGCATCTGCCCAAACTGGAAGACCTCGATTTAGAAGACTGTACCAGCTTGGAGTTGAATGCATTGGGATATTACACAGATGTCAACAAGAACGATGATTGGGCTACTGCTGCCATTTTTCCAAAACTAGAACGATTGGACCTAACTGGGACATCAATTCAAAACCAGAAGTTGGAGGAGCTGGAGAAGTTAACGGGGTGTGGCGAAATTTCGGCCAATGATCAAGAGCTTGTTCATTTATGTGATCTAATTTTTCAGTCGAAAGCTCTTGTTGTGATCGATTTATCTAACTGCATCCGGCTGAAGGAACTTCCAGAAATCTTGGTGCCCATGGAAGCTTTATCACATCTTTATCTATATGGGTGCACCAAACTATCACGACTTCCAGATAGCATTTCCAATCTGGTACAACTGAAAGAGCTTAGTCTGTCCCGTACAGCAATCCAAGAGCTGCCAGCCACCATTGGAGATCTCGCATGCTTGGAAGAACTGACACTCTATAATTGCATAAGTCTCAAACACCTCTGCGGCACCATTCACAAGCTATCCATATTGCGCCGCCTCTGCTTGTCTGGTTGCAATCAACTCAGTCACTTACCGGAGCTTCCTTCATCCTTGACATGGTTGGACGCATATGGCTGCACCGCACTTCAAACCATGTCAACTAGCGGCTTGAGTAAACATAACTTCTTGATGTGTGAATGGAATTTTGGAAACTGTGGAAAGCTGGATTCAGATGTGTGCAGCATGCTTTTCACGAAGGTACTAGATCTATTCACTCTTTTGAGTTTTATTTGATGCTCGCATATCATGAGATCATATCAAATTCATTTGCAGTTCACTCAAGATGACTTGGGTACGCGGACGAAAAGGAATTTTCCATGGCTCTTACTTCCAAGAGGTTGGAGTAGTCCTGATGGATGGAGGCCTTCTGGGCTTAATTCAGTGGTGACAGCCACACTTGGTCGCCTTTGGCAGTTGAAGGGACTAATATATTGTGCTTCATTCCATTACGAACTTGTCCATCAACCTATCCTTACTACCTCATATGCTGAATTCAGAGTTCGCTGTCACAATTTGTCTAGCACTGGCGGGGGGGATGTCATAACTGCGAGTTCAATAGATTGTGTAAACCTTGATTCAGATGACCGGGGAAGTAACCTGTTAATATGGTATGATTCTAGGCTTAGCTGGATGAAGGAGGCAGGTTTAGTACCTCTGGATTCTTCTTCCGCAGGTCTGGAGATCACAGTTACAGATGATGCTACCATTAAATTCGTCTTTCAGGCCAATGGCAGAATCATTGAGGAGACTTGTGGGGTAATACCGGTTTACGAGAACAGGGAGATAATAATAATAGATGATGACGACAGTTGATCTCTAGAGAGCCTCCTCGAGACAATATTGTTACAGATCACAGGGCAGCTGAATTGATGAAAGGAAATTTTTATGCCGCTATACGATTGGTTGTTCTTTTCTTGTTCTAGTCTTCCTGTGTTGTAATGAACTCAATTCTATCGCACTTCAC